AAATATTGGGGAAAAAAATTTGTAAAAATGCTAAAGCAATAAGGCAAACCATAGCAATGTAACATTGTATAAAAATCAATTGTTGCACAGTTATGCGTATAGCCTTGAATAAAAGAATGTTAGGCAGAAGCAAAGGAGCGGGAAACTCGTAAATATGTAGCACATGGACATAGATATGCATAGAGGAGAATAACGTATTATTTTAATTAGCTGCATAAATGCAACACTTTACGAGCATTTTAAATGCAAAACGCCAAAGCGGCAATAGTAAAAAAGATAAAAACGAAGAGTAATAAGAGCGCCACAAGTGGAAGAGCAATTCAAACCAACTATGCGTGCATCAAAGTATGTAAGAATTTTTAATTAATCTTGAAATTTATGGAGCGAAAAAATTTTAATACATTGCATTAATGCATGCCAAGTGAATTTATAATGGGTAGCGCAATTTAAGTGGGGCTGAAAGGCTAGGTTAGGAGAAATTTATTTATTTTTTTGGTAATTAATGTCAAAGTTTAGAAATGCACGAATGTACTGAGTTCGCTTCGTTAACTATTTTTATTTTGCTTGTTTAATAAATATTTATTATTATTTTTATTTTTATTATTATTTTTTTCAAATATGCGGCATTTCCCTAATCTCTTAATTAGCTTAGATTAGGTTGAGCGCGCAGCTCTGAGAAGGTGATGCCCAGGTATGTAGTTACCCCATGCCTATCCCTACATATCTTTAAATCATTTCGTTTCTCAGGCGATGCCTGGCAGTCCTTCCAGTGGAGATTTCCCAAAGGTATCCAAGCTCTCGAAGAAATGGTTCACAAGAAACTTGAAGCGTTTTCCTCGGAATGCAGGACACTCGCAAAGGAAGTGCTGGTAGGATTCTACCCCCTTCTCATCTCTACAGCTTCTACAGAAATCGTTATACGGTGTCCCCTAAGTATTCCTTTGGGAAGCCTAACGTTTGGCTTTGAAGACCTTAATAAACTTCTTGTTCTTCGTTCGTTGAGCCAAGGCTGCCTTGGTCACGGAAGGTTTCACGATTTTTAACGCTTCCCCAAGCCCAATCTAAGTTCCCTTCTAGCATATTCGTCTGCTTCCTCATTTCCTAGAACATCATTTGTTGCTGTAGAGCTTGTAAGGATCTTCGGCATTCCTTAAGTCATATCGAGTTAGTCATTGTCGACCCTGTCGACTGTCAATGACGAAGGCAAGTTTAGATGGAGCTAGGTCGCTTGCCACCTTGTCGAGTGCATACATATATCTCATTGTGAAAACCACGGCAGTGATTTGGAAATCTATAGGACTTTCTCATAGATAACTCCTGAGAGAAGACACCAGATCCTGTTCCGATATCCATTTTGTCTGGAAAATGGACATCGAAATTCCGATTGAGGTCAGGAAGGTGGAATGGCCAGGAGTATCTCTGGTGCCACCTGGGGCGTTGAGTAAGTCGTCCCCGTTGTGCATAGGCATGCTTGTCGTTGCACCTTTCGCAGGTTGAGTAGATGGGAAGTGTAGTCAACCGCCTGCCACTACACAAGCGCGCCATAGGTGAGAATAGGTCTAACTACCGCCGTATAAATCCAGTGTGTTATCAGCGGTTGCAGCCCCCAGTCTTTCCCAATTATAGCTTTACAGGATTTGAGCGTATTGAGCGCCCTTTTTCTCCGCTCTTCGGTGTTCCTTTTCCAGGAAAGCTTAGAGTCGGGAATAACCACCAAAAACTTCGCTTCTTTTGACAATTCAAATTACCATAATGACTCCGCATAGGCAAGGACCATAGCGGCTTTCAATAATAATCCCCACCACGTTCGTCAGAAAATGCGAAAAACTATTTCTTAGCGCTTGAAAATCATCTGAGTAAAGAAGACTTTACATTACAAAGGTTTTTTACAAAAAGAAATAATAATACAAATTTGCTCCAGCTTTTGCTCTGTGTACATTTTTAGTGTATAATTTCAAAAATGCCTAATGTGTCCCTTTTGAAGCTCGTTTCCGACATGTAGGATGGCTAGCTGAATGCTTTCCTATTTTTATTAGCGCTTTCGTTTGCGATGCATTTAAATGCTCTTTACTACCGAACATTGCACCACTACACATATGGCTATTTCACTTACAACCAATTGCATTTGTTACAATAAGTCACACATTCCAGTAAAGCAGACACCACACCATTAGCGCACACAAGGGGTGGGTTTTGGGGTCCAAACCCCCCCTAAAGCTAATAACCTCAAATACAAACTGTATCTTAAAGCTAAGAATCCAGCTCTCAAGGAAATTATAAGAAATATTTATTATAATTTCTGTTGCCTGAAAAAGCGCTTTGCTTTTGCTGTAAATTTCTATGAGGAAATAAATATGCGAGCATTTTTTTCTTGAGAGCTGCAAACTGATTTAAGAAATTTTGGTAGAAGAAGGTATTCGAAATATTAAAAAAATTTAGCAATCGTGAAAACTCACCGTCTCTATCGAAAACCAGAAACCAGAAATCGAAAAAATGAGCATAAAAGTGCAAAAATTTATGGAATCAATAAATTTATTTTTACTGACTCTTTTAAAAATTTTTATTAGGTACTTTTAAAAGTTGAGCGCATCTTGAGTTTATAGAACTTTTTATTAAACAAGTAATTTTTAAGGAAAGAACACAACCGACTTCAAATTTAGGGGTACCGTTAATTTCTTCATGATCCAATCATCGGATCTCTAAACCAAATTACGGGACGACCCTTGAGGTACCATCTTTCCAATAAAAAAAGGATTATTGAAATCGGTTCACGTGGTCAAAAGTTATGTATTCCGGCGTATTGATAACCTCCTCTTTTTTTGAAGTCGGTTAAAAGTGTTTGAGTTCTGTTAATCTTATGTAAATAAAGTGCAGTTTATGGATTTTAAAACGTTTATTTATTTATTACATACTGTACATAAAACTTGCATGAATATATTTTAAAGAGCGTATTATCTGAAGCAAATTTTCAGTATTTTCCGGTGATATATATTCAGAAATATAAAACCCCCCCTAAAATATATTCCTGGGTGCGCCCCTGCACCACACAATCCAATTTCTCCATAACACCATACATACTTTTCTAAACACTGCTGTCTTCCTCGATTATGCTCACTTTTAATTCATTTTTCCTTATTCTCGCCATTTCCGCCATGCAATTTGCATAAATTATCCTCTTCCTCCTTCTTATCGGCATCTTACTTCCACAAAAAAAGCTGTAGGAAAGTCTTTTTGAAGCCAAGTTCATGGCAATTTCCACAATTGACCCGCCTGAATTATAGAAAGTTTAAAATGGGTAAAATGTTGCAATGTCCTTCGAGTGGTGAGCAGCTGCTTGCTGTGCTCATACATTTTTTCCATCCAACTGTTGCAAAAGCAAGCTTTTCTTAAGATTTCTGTAACTTTTTTTGACTATTTTTTTTTTACAGTCTCTGTAAAAATTTTTTGCTTTCGACTTTTATTTGTTCGGCAGAAAGTTGCATTAGCATTGTTGTCAAAATCAGTGAACCCCAAACGTTAACTGGCCGCAGCGGCGCTGACTTTACTAGCTCCATCAACGCGCGCTCATTTTTTAATGCAATTACAAATCATATCCGTCAAACTATATACGTAGATGTGAGTACATTTAATTCACGTTTTCTCTTCACATTGTTTTTGATGTTTTTCTGCCATAAATATATTTCATGCGAAATTTTTGCATTCCTCTCTTTTCGATTTCGTCTCTTGAAATTTGCATGAAGCGAATTTCTCACATTGCAATCCTTTCAACAGTTAACCTTTTTTGTTACATATTTCATCGTCTCTTCCATTCCGTTAATACTTGTTTGCTGGTTGCTTTTCACTTTAATCTCATTAGCAGAGACTCAGTCTCAGACTGCTCGTTTTAACTACTCGACTATAAAGCACCATCCAGTTTAAGGAGATTTTCAAATTGAGAGCAAACTAAATCAACCAAAATACAATTAAAAATAATAAGACTCACTCAAACAACTTTTCACGTGTTGATTTCTTTAAATATTCACAACGTTTTCGAAGTTAATCTTTTTTGTTGTTATTTTTCTATTAAAACCATTTAGAGAATTCACAAGGTGTCGTATGTTGTAAAGTTTTTAAAGGCTAAATAAATGTCTAAATGACTTGAAACCACAACCAATTAGTTTTTTAACCGTGTGAAATTGCATAATACAACGTTTATTGTAGCTGCGGAATTCCCTTAATATATTTTTAACCGCTTAAAATTTACGAAGTACAACAATACGACTGTATACAACCCTTTGTGAACTCTTTATTTTTCCTAGCTTTAACCAGAAAAAAATCAAAGTTTCAAATTATATGCAAAATTTAGGATAAGTCACCAAATTTTCATCAAAATTTTCGGCGTTTTAATCTTAATCTTTACAAAATTTTTGGTTACCAACAGCCAAAATAATATTTGGCCTATCACATCCAGCTAGTACCGATATATTAATAGTTAAAAATATACTGTTAACGACTTTATAACAATTAACCACAAAGACTCTTTCTCGAGAACAGATCTGGTAAAATAAGATGACATACAAAAAAAAAACGAAAAGCAGTCTAAAAAAAAATGTATGGCATTTCGTAGCTGGTTGAAACTTGCGCTTCATAAGGCTAAAATTTTATGGGCTACATATATAGCTGCATGCTTAAAATGGTTCTGAATATTCAGATTAAAAAGTTAAAATTTTGATGAAAGTTTGAAACTGTTATTTTTATGGTTTTGCTTAAAACTTGGACGGTATTTCTATAGAAAAATAGCAAACAAAAATTTAGCTCGAAAAATATTACTTGCTTGAGTACAAGCAATAGTTCGGCTTTTTTTTCATATCCACAAATTCATTTTAAACTGAAAGTGTGCCTATTCACAATTTCAGGTGCCCAAATTTATATATCCAAAAATCAGTAAACTCTTTTTGTTAGTTTTTTACATATCCTTATCCAATAAAGTACTAATAAAAATTTTTTACTCTTCTCGTTACAGCTCATTTTATAGGCATCAACAAACAAAAGCCAATTATTCAACTTAAAGGTAAGCTTGAATTACAGTGTTTTATTATCTGTATAAGAAAAAAAATCAAACTTGAAGAAGAGTTTACAATAAAAAGTTGCTAAAATTAATTGCGTTGGTTTTCTCATTTTCATGCATCACTAGCCGCAATTAACAAACAGCGCAATCAATTGAATATCATTTCCAAAAACCAAATGCCACATAAAAATTAACAAAGAAATTAATAATAAAATGTAATATCTATATTCGGTCAATATTTGGTGGTGGGTTTTATTGCTTAAACTCCCTAGAGGCAATAATTTGACAAAAAATCATCACGTTCATATACATACATATATTGTGCGCCACAAAAGTGAAGTCACACAACAATGAAATCAAATATTTATTGCAAGGACATTAAATATGTATGTGTGTACGTATGTACATTAGCGTGATCCATAAACGGAAAAGTTGGAACCCTAATAGTCTCAACCCTAGGATTTTTCTATAACAAAAAAATTATAAAACTTATTTAGAGGTCGCTCCAAACCCATGAAGTTTTCCATGCCCTTCCCTCTGCAACTGAGCTTCATTAGCATTGATTACCAAAAACGCCTATTTTTCGACATATAGTTTATTTATATTACTATTTCATTAAAAAATATTTAAATTATTGATAGAATTTCCAGTTTAAATCGAAAAAAGTTTATAAATAAATATCTAATCTATATCTCCCGTCAGAGGCAAGGTGTTAAAATGTTTTGTATTTCCGAATTATGAAAAAGCATTTGTGATGTGCAGAACGAAAGCGTATTCAAACGAAAAAATCGACAACCAAAAGTTACGTTAATGTAAACAAAAGTTCTTTTTGTTGATTTTTTTCTCAGTGTTTATATGAGAAAAAGACACTTTTTCATAGAAATGATATACAATTCTTAAAAACATATATTTTGGATCGGATAATAAATGATAGTTAGTATTAACAAGCAAAAAGCAAAACCGACTTCAATTCTCATTAAAAAATTTTAGAGTACCGTTAATCTATGTATACCAAATTACAACGAAGCAACTTTTGAGTTACCACCTTTACTTTAAAAAAATAATTGTAGAAATCGGTTAACGTGGTCCAAAGTTGTGTGGAAACATACGTAAGAAAAAATAAGAATATATTCCGTCGAAATGATATCCTCCTCCTTTTTTGGAGTCGGTTAAAAAGTAGTTAAATAGACAATTGGGTATTGCTATTGGAAGTATCTTCCCCATATAAAATACATGGAAAACTACACGGGCTTAAAGCCAGTTCCAGATATCATTTTTTAACAAAATTTTCTAAATTTTTATCCCCACATATATTTTTGGACCACCCTAATGTACATATGTAGAAAGGTAATCAAGCAGACAATAGGACAAAACATATGCATTTACAAGTGCACTCTTAACGTAAAACACATTTATACATGTGCCTGTGTATGCACATTAGGGTGGTATAAAAATGCATGTGTAAAAGTAAAGTCGCAGTTTTCGCAATGCTCACAGTCCCTTGGAGTGCTCTGTACCGAAAAAGTATCACTTTTTTATTTTGGACCTTTGAGCGACCTCTAAATATTTTTTGAATCCAAATAAAAAAATAAGTATATTTTTCGATGTAAAACAATCCTAGGGGGTGTGAGCATTAAAATTCCGACTTTATTTAATTTGGAACTCCCTAAGTGTGAGGAAAAAAGCACATTGAAATGCATGCAGATACAAAATTAGAAAAGTGCCCTTGCCAGCCATAAATATCAAATTCAAATGTAATTGTAATAAAAACCAATAGCAATAATATTAAAAAATAGAAATATAACAGAAAACCCTTTCGATTGCAGATGATGCCAAAAACAAAAACAACAACAACATATCATATTAATATTCTATGTGCTGATAGCGCAATTAAAAAACAATAAAAGCCAATAAAAAAACGTTAACAATACCGTAGGCTAACCAAAAAAAGGATTACTGTGTGATAAGCAACGAAAATTGCTGCCGCAAATGCAAATGCTTTGAATTCAAAAAGTATAATAAAAAAATATTTAATTTAGCTGAAATTGCAATCAGTAAAAAAATATGTTTGTATGTGGTTCAATAAAAAATTATTCAAACGTTCTGTCTACAATATATTGAACTCGATTTCTGGCAAATTGACAATAATAGCCTTTATGAAATTTATTTCATCTGCAATTTATACCTTTTTATAGCCTTAAAATTTTAAATTGGTTTTTTTCGGTACGCTTGAAATTTGCTAAAAAATTGCGATTTTGAAGATGAGATGCTGTTGTTACGCATTCAAACTCTACTCTGATCCAACTTTGGAAAGAGGCACACGTGAGCCACCATGAGACTATTGTAATACGGTAATAGAGGCTCCTTAAATTCTTCGTTTCTCTATGAGGAGCATCAAATTTAACCTTCTAATGAAGTTCACGAGGTCACATATACCAGCGTACAGATCAGTTCAGTCATACACTCTGGAAATTAGTGATGGAAAAATTGTCGACGGGCCGTCGCCAATGCAGAACAGAGTGCTAAATATTCTTCTTTTTACTTTTAGCCAGATATGTCGTGCCATCCTAATACGTGTGGACACTGCAGACTATCTTCTATTAGCCAGTTTTATAAAGTCACTCGGGGTTCGCAAATAACAGTTGTTTTCAAACCGGAAAGAATTTCCCTATATGGTATTTCAATGAAGCAGTGGACTACTGGTTGGCTAAGGAATATTTATCTTAAATGATTTAAATTTTTGTAATTTTTCGGTCTTTTTTACCGGTATTTTTTTCAGTAAAAAATAACTGAAATTTGACTTTTCCTGTTTTTCGAGCAAGTATTATAGTTAGAATTTGACTTTTACTTGTCCGATTAAAAATAGAAGTTAAAGTTTCACACTAATTTTTGCATGCAATTATAAAAGTCAAAATTTTACTTGTATTATTTCGGTTAAAAATAAAATTTAAATCTCATTCGCTATTTCATCTGCTTAAGTTATAAACGTTTTATTGCTAAGTATAAAAAGGTAAATATTGGTTGTTTGTGCAATGGTAAGCAAATAAGCAGTGCAACAAAAATTTTGCTTGGTTATCAGTGTGTGTAAAGTGAATAAAAATGTAACCACATAACCACACAGATATTAATGTGCCAAATATAAAAATTGATAGCAAATTCTTATTGTTAATTCTTAATTTTTAGTCGAAAATATATCATAAAAACATAACGATTATTGATCGACGAAAAAGCATGCCATACATGCGCCTCCGCCAAAATCTGAAACTAGATTAGTTATGAGGAGAAAGTCTTTCGAGTTTTTAGCAACTTTTTTTTCACAGTAATTTATGGTAAATAGTTAAAACTAAAAGTTACTTAAAATTACTGATTTTCCAAACGATTGTGCAAATTAAGCAAAATAAAAAAATGATTACTGATTTCCCAGAGTAACAACAATAAAATTACTACGTGTATGGCGCACAGTCATAAACTAGATTTTATGGCAATAACTCTCTGGGAACACATGTGCTCAACAATCAAGCCGCTCACCATTAAGTGCAACCGAAAGCAAACCATTGCTTGTGGCTAAAAATACAAAACTCCTTCTGGCAAAAGCAAAAAAAAAAAAGAAGCAAGTTCACTTAAACATTTGCAGCTGCAATTAATATCCTGCATTTTTGTATTTGTGCTCACGTGCATGTGATTGTGTGCAGTGCTTTTGTTTAAATTTCATCTGTGCAATTTTCGTCATTCACACACACGCAAGTGCATACATACATACTCACATGCAAATGCATTTTAAGCCTTCAAGAAAGACAAACAAGCACACAAATGAGGGAACGAACGAACGAACGAACTAACGAACAGCAGTTGCACAGCATCCAGTGTGACCACTTTGTGAGTAATTCTTCAAAACGTGAGGAATTGGGAGTTTTTTTATTTTGAGGAATTTTTGAGGAATTTCCTCTTATTATATTTGAAGAAAATGAAATGCCACCATGTTTTACACAACAGAGTTGCTAAATCGCTCTGCAAATTTTTTAACAAAAATCTTTCCGAAGTTTTATAAAGAGCGAAATACACCACACATCAGCTTGTTAAACATTCTTCAAACCTAGTTTTCCCCCATTTCGCCATACACCATGAAAACATTACTCGATCAACCAAAGAATTTTAGCTTTCTTCAGGCTCGCAATGTAAGAGAGTTTGGTTTTCTTCGCTTTTTCTCTATTGCGTCTTCATTCGGTGAAAATTCCGTTGGGAATGAGGCGATTTTACCATACAAAGCGTAAGCGGTTTGCTCAAACATCAACATGGCGGCCAGAAAATCAAAAAATATTGATTTTTGTTCACATTTCCATCAAACGGCTGGTCAAACCTTCAAAAACCCCCATACACAACAAATAGGGATATTTCGCTTGCTTCCGCTTGTGTGGTGTTTTTCGCTCTTAAGCACATCTGAATTTGCTGCTAATTATTCAAAATGTTATCGATAATTTTTTTCATTCCATCTTTATATTTTCGACTGATTTTGAACTTGCAAAATCTCGATAACGAATGGAAAGAATACGCATTGTTCGATCATAAGAATATTCGTATTGATTCTTCATTTGATGCAGAAATTTATAGGAACAAATTTTTGAATTAAAAGATTCTTCAGGTTCATATAAGTTTCCAAATTAAAAAATATATATATATCTGCATTACTAATACAGCTCTTTTCTAATGCTTCAGTAGAACGTATATTTAGTAGTTTAAAAATGTGTAGCACTGACTTGAGGACCAGATTGAGCACTCATATAGCTGTCGCAATATTATACACAAAGCAAGGCATAAGAAATAATGGTAATACTTTGTTTGAGCCGCAAGAACAAAGGTACCAATTGAAATGGAGAATGTAATTAATTTTTATGCTAATATCTGCTAATATCTCATATCTGTAAAGAAAAAATTTTTAGTAATTTGTTCGGATTTTGAGGATTTCCCATTTGTTTTTGAGGAATTTGGTAATTTTTTTATGGCAA